CCATTGTGGTATTGCTGAGTTACTTTGGTTTTATTTCAATAAATGAATTTTTTTTCAATAAATGGAGTTTTTCACGTTGATAACACACTTTATTAGTGCATAAAGCAAAATATACCTTAGCCCAGGAAAGCAACAAGCACTACAATTCAGTGTACCAAACACAGCCACTGCACTTAACTCCTGTGCAGAGCAACAGACATTACTGGTGGCTTTCAGCCTCAAATTGCTCCCTCAAGGCATCCGTAATCCTTGCAGCCCCACGCTGGGACCCTCTAATAGCCCTGCTCTCTAGCTGTTCAAGTTAAGCCTCCAGGTGTTGAACCTCTGAGGCCCATGCCTGAGTGAAGCTTTCACCCTTCCCTTCACAAATATTATGGAGGGTACAGCACGCAGATATAAGCGCGGGGATGGTGGATTCGGCCAAGTCCAGCTTCCCATAAAGAGAGTGCCAATGACCCTTCAAACGGCCAAAAGCACATCCACAGTCATTTGGCACTGGCTCAGCCTGTAGTTGAACCGTTCCTGGCTGCTGTCCAGGCTCCCTGTGTAGGGTTTCATGAGCCACAGCATTAAAGGGTAAGCGAGGTCTCCAAGGATCACAATGGGCATTTCGACTTCACCTACGGTGATCCTCTGCTCTGTGAAAAAAGTCCCAGCTTGCAGCTTCCTGAACAGGCCAGTGTGCCGAAAGATGCATGCGTCATGCACCTTTCTGGGCCAGCCTGCGTTAATGTCAATGAAATGCCCATGGTGATCCACAAGCGCCTGGAGAACCATGGAGAAATACCCCTTTTGGTTAACATACTCGGAGTCTAGGTGGTCTGGTGCCAGAATAGGAATATGCACCCCATCTATCGCCCCTCTGCAGTTAGGGAAACCCATTTGTTCAAAGCCAGCCACAATGTCATGTACGTTACCCGGAGTCACAGTTCTTCTGAGCAGGATGCGATTAATGGCCCTGCAAACTTGCATCAACACAATTCCAACAGTCAACTTTCCCACTCCGACTGGTTAGCTGGAGTAGCCAGCTTCCAGATTGCAATAGCTACCTGCTTCTTCACCATCAGGACAGCTCTCAATCTCGTGTGCTTGCGCCGCAGGGTGAGGGCAAGTTCAGCACACAGTCCCATGAAAGTGGCTTTTCTCATCCAAAAGTTCTGCAGCCACTGCTCATCATCCCAGATTTGCAGAACGATGTGATCCCACCACTCAGTGCTTGTTTCCTGAGCCCAAAAGCAGCATTCCAAGGTGGAGAGCATGTCTGTGAATAAGACAAGCAATTTCGTGTTAAATGCGTTACGTGACTCCATATCGTTGTCGGACTCCTCACTGTCACTTTGGATCTTAAGGAGTAGCTCAAATGCTAAATGTGACATGATGGCGAGACTCGTCAGCATCCTCCTCAGCAGTTCGGGATCCATTCCCACAGACCGAAAGGGAAGACAGAGTGTGCCGCACAGAAACCATTGAAAGATGGCGCCAAATGTGGACAGAAACACGGGGATTGCTGGGATGCGACGTGATACATCACAGGGCGTTGGGACAGGATCCAAAATGCCCCGCACCCCGTGCCCCCTTCCCACAAGCCACAGCGCCAGAATGGGAAGAGGTGCTCTGTGGGATAGCTGTCCATAATGCACCACTTCCAATGCCGCTGCAAGTGCCGCGAATGTGGCCACGCCAGTGCGCTTGCAGCTGTCAGTGTGGACAGACCAGCTTTCCCTGGTGCACTCTCCGAAGGCTGATTTAACCCAAAGCGCTGTACAGCTGCAAGTGTAGCCAAGCCCTCAGTTCTCCAACCTGGGATGCCTTTAACACTGCTTTGCTAATGAACAGCTACTCCTGGCCCACCACACACAGCCTCCAGCATGTAACTTGCTCCCAGCTACACAGTATTGAGTGCTGCTAGCTATTCACTCATGAATTACATTGCAGAAGAATACCAGCAGATTCCCAGTCCCAGATTTCCAGAAATATGTATCTTGTACTGCTCAGTACCCTCCTAAACAATACAAGCTCTGAGAAAGTATGTCATTTTATCAAAGAAAAATGGTATGCACAAGGCTTGTTATTGGAAGTGGAGTTCCCCACGCACTTTAATCTAAACACACTGATCGATAAAATCTATCTTTCTGTTGTTAATAAACTTAAGTCATTACAAGTGCTGATACATAAAAGTCAGGACTGATTACAAAAGGAGGGACTTGATGACGCATGTAATGCATTCTCTGCTAAAGTAGAGAATGCATCACAACAAGCCGGTGCTGAGAGCATGTGGAATTGGTCGACGCTATACCTGGCTCATGAGATAGCTCACGGTGTCTGACACCATCAGGTAGTCCAGAGACATCTACATGGAGCACATCATGTGACACCGTCAGTACCAGGTTGTCAAGGTTCCTTCCCCACTCTGAATGCTAGGGTACAGATGTGGGGACCTGCATGAAAACCTCCTAAGCTTACTTTTACCAGCTTAGGTTAAAACTTCCCCAAGGTACAAACTATTTTACCCTTTACCCTTGGACTTTCGCTGCCACCACCAAACGTCTAACACCGGTATTATTATTAGGAAAGAGTTTGTTTGGAAACGTCTTTCCCTCCCAAAATCCTCCCAAATCTTAACCCCTTTTTTCTGGGGAAGGTTTGATAAAAATCCTCACCAATTTGCATAGGTGACCACAGACCCAAACCCTTGGATCCTAAGAACAATGAAAAAAGCATTCAGTTTTTTAAAAGAAAAATTTTAATAGAAGAAAAAGTAAAAAAGAATCACCTCTGTAAAATCAGGATGGTAAATACCTTACAGAGTAATTAGATTCAAAACATAGAGAATCCCTCTAGGCAAAAGCTTAAGTTACAAAAAGACACAAAAACAGGAATATCCATTCCATTCAGCACAGCTTATTTACTCAGCCATTTAAACAAACAGAATCTAACACATGTCTAGCTAGATTACTTACTAAGTTCTAAGACTCCATTCCTGTTCTGTCCCTGGCAAAAGCATCACCCAGACAGACCCAGACCCTTTGTTTCTCCCCGCCGCCAGCTTTGAAAGTATCTTGTCTCCTCATTGGTCATTGTGGTCAGGTGCCAGCGAGGTTATCCTAACTTCTTAACACTTTACAGGTGAAAGGGTTTTTCCTCTGACCAGGAAGGATTTTAAAGGTGTTTACCCTTCCCTTTATATTTATGACACAGGTCAAGTAATCAAGAATGCTGGTCAGGGAAATAACCCACTTCCTTCCTTCGCTGATGACCCAAGGGGCACACCACACCCATGTACTTATTCACTACACCAACACTGACTTGGACTCTAAATACATTCTGTAGGTGGCGTACCCGAGATCACTCATCCACTGACGTCTCAAAAACTCCCGCACCCCAATCTGGGTCTATGCTGGTTATGTGCTATGTATATATCTTATGAACCTTGTAACCAACACTAGTAATCCCTCATAACCCAAGCTTGATCACAGATGTACAGTAACTTCCTTCTTAACTTGCATAAATTTGATTTTAAACATTAACTTTAATAAAATTGTTGTCTGTACAGCACATGCTTAGAGTATCTGGAGCTGTGGATGGAACCCCTGGATACTTTTCTTGTTTCATGTGGACAGGATTGCCCTAAGACACTAAATTGGAATGATGTGGAGTCTTGTATCAAATACTTGACAGAGAAGGGGGTAAAAACTGATGACATTAAGCGCTTTGATCAGTTCAGCAATATCAAGAAATGTATGGAAGGTTCTTACAGTGATGAAAAGCTCAATAATTTCCTAGTAAATTACCAAAAATGGATCAAATATTTTGAGAAGTCCAAAATCATTGAATGTTGCTGTTAAAGTTTGCACAGTTCATCTTTACTGTTCCCTCTCACAATGCAAATGTAGAGCAAGTTTTTTCACTGATGCCAAGCCGGCCCACAAAGGAAAGGAACTGAAGACTGCTGCATTGCTGAAAAGGATCCTGCTTGTACAGTACAACATCAGGCCCACATCTTGCAAAGACTTCCATGGCTCCTTGCTGAGCCATCAGCCACTGCTGGGAAAGATGAGCTCTTCAGAGAAATACGCCTAGGTGGCCTGTCTACAGGAACACCGGACTGATATTTACTTGGGAGGCCATTACACTTATTTACACATTAGATTAGAGAGTAGCAGCCATGTTAGTCTGTATCCGCAAAAAGAAAAGGAGGGCTTGTGGCACCTTAGAGACGAACAGATTTATTAGAGCATAAGCTTTCGTGAGCTGCAGTTTACTTCATCAGCTGCACGCGATGAAGGGAGCTGTAGCTCACGAAAGCTTACGCTCAAATAAATTTGTTCGTCTCTAAGGTGCCACAAGCCCTCCTTTTCTTTTTACACGTTAGAGATTCCAAGTAGAAACTGTACCCCGCTGCTGCATCCCCTACTGGGGAACTGGAACTATGCTAACCCTAAGCCCGGAGCCCGCGCCAGGATCCCCTCCTGTCACCAGGGCCGGCTCCAGCTTTTCTGCAGAGAAGAAAAATCCGATTGAGCGGCCGCCGAAGACCCGGACCTGCCACCCCTTGCTATTTTTTTTTTTGAAGCAGAAAAGAATTTTATTTGTGTAACACTTACAAAGAATCACCAAAAAGGATAAAGCAAAACTATGCAACAAAACAAAAGCAAACACAAGGTATAACACAGCAGCCTTCAGCAGGGAGAAGTGTTCACGCTAGCCTGGGCCCAGAGCGGGGTGCTTCCTCCACACTCCTGGTCGCCCCTTGCTATTGGCCGCCCCAGGCACCTCCTTCTGGCGCCCGGAGCCGGCCTTGCCTGCCACTGCCGGCGGGGCTCCACTCGGCCCAGCCCACCCTTGCAGAGCGCCCGGGCAGCCCCGCGATGATTGGGCACCGCTCCGCCCGTGCCCGCCCATGAGCCCACAGTCACGCCACGGCGAGGGCCCCCGCGAGCTTCCCGATTGGTAGGCTGCTGTGCGGGGCGGTGCCTACGGGAGCGGGGCGGTGCCTACGGGAGCGGGGCGGGCAGCGTGGCCAGGTCTCGGCCCTGCGCGCGGTCTATAACGGCGCACGGAGAAACTCGCTAGTTTACTGTGCTCGCTCGAGGCTGCGGGATGCAGCCCGTGGTGCTGGTCACCGGCGCCAGCAGGTGAGGAGGGGCCAGGCGCAAGCAGCCTCGTCCATCTGGCGGGGGGCGGGGCTCTGTCTCATTGTGGGGCGGGCGGGCTCGCTCGGGGGTGCCCTATGCAGCCCCCTCACCGGGGGTTGTGTGGGACCCTAGGCCACCCCCCGGGGTCTGGGAGGCAGGAGCTGTTGGGGAGCACTTTTGGCGGCTCCACAGGCGCAGGGGGCTGGGAGCAGCCGGCTCCGCTTCCCTGGCCCCAGCCGTGTCGCTTGGGGGAAGGGACCACCCTGCACTCACCGGCGGCGGGAAGTGGAGTGCCCCGGCTGGGAGCTGGCGGAGTGGAGCGGGCTGAGGCCAGGTTGCCCCGCTTCCCGCCGCTGCCACTGAGTGTGGGGTCGCTGGGGGAGGAGGTGGAATGGGGGCGGGGGGGGGAACGGTAAGGGGCCGGGTGGAGCGGGGGGGGGAACGGTAAGAGGCAGGGCGGAGGGAGTTGTCCGGGAGGGGCCTGCCCCTTGCAGTGGGCGCAGCCTGCTCGGGGGCTGGCCAGGGGACAGGGCTTGTCGTGGGGGCTTGTGCTGCCTTGTATGCAGCACACAGCTGCCTAGGTCACCTTGAAATTTGGGGTGATTTGGTGCCCTAAACTTCCTGGTGCCCTCCGCAGCTGCGTATGCCTAAGTGGTGCGGTGCCAGGCTGACTGGGCTCTTGTCTCCCTGGACCGTTGCAGTGGCATCGGCTCCGCCCTATGCAAGCGGTTACTGCAGGAGGACGCTGGGGTCCGGCTGTGCCTGGCCTGCCGGAGCATGCAGAAGGCTGCTGCCACCAAGGCCATGCTGCTGGCTGCCCACCCTGCCGCCCAGGTTACCTTCGTGCACCTGGATGTCAGCAGCCTGGAGTCTGTCCTGCAGGCAGCCAGCGAGATCCAGTGCAGGTGTGTGGAGCCTGCCCGGGCTCAAGGTGGGTGGGTGCTGTGCCCCTAGCCCTGGCTGAGGAGAGTGAGCAACAGGGACCTCTCTGGTTCAATCCGCTGCATCCAGCAGGTGTGTCTTGCCGGCCCTCAGGCCTGGGAATAAGCCTGAAGCACAGTCAGTTCTTTCACTCTGAGTAGGGGGAAAGGGCTGAGATGTGTCCTCCTTTAGCTCAGCTGGTGGTGGTCAAATGTCATCCTCTAGTGTGTGTAGGGCAAAGAGGGGACTCTTTGCCCAGCTTGCATTTGCTGCAGGCAGCTGTCATAGAATCATAGAAAATTAGGACTGGCAGAGACCTCAGGAGGTCATCTAGTCCAATCCCCGACTTAAAGCAGGACCACCCCCAACTAAATCGAGGACCAACACCAACTAAGTTCCTGTCAGGCTCTGCAAAGTCCTTGTACAGCCCGTGGTTTGGGCACCATGCTTCACAAAATGTGGAAATTCAATGTGTACACAGCATAGGAATGCTACAAGCCCCCCTTCTGTTGTGCCCTGTATTCCTCTCTCCCCCCGACTACCAGTCTTACCTCTTCAGCTACTGCAGTGACCTCTTTCACCTACCACAGTCCAAAAGTATACCACTGAGCCTGACCTGCTAAAGCGTTTCCTTGAAACCAGGAGCACTGGATAGCTCCAGACAGGAAGTGATCTGTTTGCCACTTGCCTTAATGTTGCTGGCCACAATGTCCTGTCTTGAACAGGAGAGTCGCAGAACTTAATGATACAAGTTACAGATTTTACAATTGCATTTGAACGTAACACTCTCCACTGTTGCTTCCACTAGCTCTTCTGGAATAGGAGAGCCACAGGTGTGTTGAGCACCCTGCCATCTAGATCTGGTCTGAGAGGGTTAGACAACACAACAAAAATGCATCCGCCTCAGGAACCTTGTATGTACTAAGGCTCCTGGTATTGCTTCCAACCTCCCAAAAAGAGCTGAACTGGTGGTGGCAACAATAGGAAATCTGATTCTTCCACTGCAGGTCAGGTCACTTCTGGGTTTGTTTCAGGGGTGGTGAAGTTTTGTTTATACACTGCTTTGAGATCTTTAGTTGGAAAGTATACTCTGGTGATATCTGTGTTATAAAAATCCCAGTCCAAGAAGATATTAGCCTATGGAAGTTAGGTGCCTAAATTCCTTTGAATTAACCTAATCTTATTTTCTCTTGAAAATCCTGGATAGCTAACTGAAATTTGAGGCATACAGAAGTTTGGAAAATGGATTACTTGTGGGCATCAGTTATATTTTAAGAACTCTAGATTTGACCCCCAACACTCCAGATTTTGTGGGATTTTTACATTCAGAGTGAATTTTACAGTTCAGATCCCTATAATGGACTCAATCAAGAACTCTCAGAATCTGGGAAACTTATTCTGGATCCCAGCTCTGGATCATGTCTAGTTTTATTTTGCAAAATGACATCATCATGTTTAGCTTAATATTCTTTGAACTTCAAAATAAAGAAATGACTTGTCTCTGAGCTTCTGTCTCCATTGTGGGCTAGCATTAGCTGTGGTGGTTTTTGTTTTTGTTTTTGTTTTTATGAGATGCTCTAGTAATAGCCATAACCAACCATACTGTTTGTTTCCTTTGTGTAGGTTCCAGCGCTTGGACTGTCTCTTTCTGAATGCTGGGACCATGCCAAATACCCATGTTAGCTTCAAAGCACTGATCTCTGGTCTCTTCTCCGGGTACAGAATACTATCCTTAAGTAACAGTCAGATACTTTTCTCTTCCTGGTTTTGTCCTTGGATGAGTAAGGGGAGGGGAGATACAAAATGGATGACGGCATGAATGAATGTTCCAGTGATTCACTGAGATTTTGGATGGCTGATAATGTGAGGGATGGTTAACGAAACACTGAATGAGTGGGTGGTTTAGCTAAAAGGTGAACAGATCTTTCTGTTATAGTCATTACTTAGGAAGTCATAAATGTGCATGGTAGTCTACAAAAGCCTTCTGCTCAGAAGAGTTTACAGTCCAGGTAAAGCAGAAAGGCTTACCAAACTGGATTCAATGGATTATAACAGGGGTTCTCAAACTGGGGGTCGTGATCCCGCAGGGAGTTGTGAGGTTATTACATGGTCACCAAAAAGCTTGTTATGAGAACCCCTGGTCTAGAGAAGGTACTTGAAAGAATGGGGGAAACAGTATGTTTAAGACAGTGGGGAAGGTGTGGGAAGACTGAGAAGGAGGGAGAAACATGTATTGAGGTAGAGAATGGTATTAAAGGTATAGCAGGCAGAAGTAAGGGGCTTCTGAGGTTTGGGCCTCTCGTGAAGGAGGGGAGTGAGGTGATGGTGAGCAACTTCTCTGTTTAAAGAGACCAGCATGATGTTGCTTGGCAGATGAAAATCAAGAGCTGAGACTGCTGTGAAGGCATGCTGGGAATGCCATAGTTAAGGTATCAGAGTAGCAGCCGTATTAGTCTGTATTCGCAAAAAGGGGAGGAGTACTTGTGGCACCTTAGAGACTAACCAATTTATTTGAGCATAAGCTTTCGTGACTTACAGCTCACTTCATCAGATGCATTCAGTGGACATAAGGTAGTATCAGGTCTCTGCCTCTGATAAATTGATGCCTCTGATGTGGATAAATTGGAGAGAGTCCAGCGAAGGGCAACAAAAATGATTAGGGGTCTGGAACACATGACTTATGAGGAGAGGCTGAGGGAGCTGGGATTGTTTAGCCTGCAGAAGAGAAGAATGAGGGGGGATTTGATAGCTGCTTTCAACTACCTGAAAGGGGGTTCCAAAGAGGATGGCTCTAGACTGTTCTCAATGGTAGCAGATGACAGAACGAGGAGTAATGGTCTCAAGTTGCAGTGGGGGAGGTTTAGATTGGATATTAGGAAAAACTTTTTCACTAAGAGGGTGGTGAAACACTGGAATGCGTTACCTAGGGCGGTGGTAGAATCTCCTTCCTTAGAGGTTTTTAAGGTCAGGCTTGACAAAGCCCTGGCTGGGATGATTTAACTGGGATTTGGTCCTGCTTCGAGTAGGGGGTTGGACTAGATGACCTTCTGGGGTCCCTTCCAACCCTTATATTCTATGATTCTATAGGAACTTAACATCTGTGTTAAACAGCTTGGGAACAGGAGAAGAGAGACTGGATGTGGGATGTTTCAGAGTAACAGCCGTGTTAGTCTGTATTCGCAAAAAGAAAAGGAGTACTTGTGGCACCTTAGAGACTAACCAATTTATTTGAGCATGAGCTTTCGTGAGCTACAGCTCAGAGCTGTAGCTCACGAAAGCTCATGCTCAAATAAATTGGTTAGTCTCTAAGGTGCCACAAGTACTCCTTTTCTTTTTGGATGTGGGATGTGAGCCAAGGCTGGGGATGGTTTGAATAGTTTGAGAAATGAGCAAATGGATCTAGGCCTTGTCCAAACATGGAAAACTTTAACTCTACTGGTATGGTTGGAGGGGTACAGCTCACATCACACCATCGGTCACTGGTATACAAGTGCTTTACTGGTACAGTTGATCCTTGTATGGGAAGGGGAAGTAAGCTATACTGGTATAAGGCATTTTTTATACCAGTACAACCATCTCAGTAAAAAAAAATCATACCCTTAATGTTGGCTGGTGTATGCACAGGTCTTGTAACAGCATAAAAGTGTGGAGATAAAACTGGTGCTGTAGGTGGAGACTATGGATTTGATAGCTGGAATGAGGAATTAATTCCACCAGACAAGTCAGATGTGTTAATGGCCTACTGGGCATGAAGGGGGCTGTGGGTGGGGAGGCAAAAATATTAATAGAGAAAAATGGGTCACCATACAGCCTGTAGGTGTGCACAGGAGGCTGGGAGAGAGCTGGAGATCAGCCACAACATTGCAGGGGCATCAAGTTCTTCTCAAATAGCAATGAATTATGGTTTGTTGTATCCCTCTGAAGTAGGGAAATAGGTCATCCCCCTCACCTCCATATATAGGGAAGCTGAGTCATGGAAGTTAAGTGAGTGCAAATTCAGTGACTGACAGAGCCAGGAACTCCTAACTCTTATTTGCTTTAACCACTAGACTGCTTTTCCTCTGAGTTACAGCCCATGTTACAGGCTCCCATTTAGTTTGTGAGCAGCAAACTGGAAATCAGTTTTGTTTTTTGTTTTAAAAAAAAACTGTTTTCTGTTGTAATAACAAATCTCTAAAATCAAGTCTCAGTAAAAATTAGAGCTGGCTGAAGTCTTTCAAAGTTTAGTTGAAAGACTTTTAAACAATTTTTTTGGTTTTAAAAATACAAAGTAAACAAAACACGCTGACACTGGGATCTTTGCTTTTCAAAATGTATGCTGTTAAATATTTAAGATTATCAGAATTTTTCCTTTTTTAAAAAGTGATTTTGAAAAAACATACTATTTTGAACCTTCAGAATGAAAATTGCTTCTGAATTTGGTTCTGCAAGGAGTTTTCCAATCTGTTGTAGAGCTGGTCAAAATACTAAAAATGATAAGAATTGTTCAATAAAATTATCACCTGAAGAAGCTATAGCTCTGTCTAAAATTTCCTCTCTCCTCTCCTTGTATTCCAGGAAAGCAGTCCATATGCTGAGCACAGCGGAGGGGCTGTTAACTCAAGAAGACTGCATCACTGCAGATGGCCTGCAGGCTGTGTTTGAAACCAACCTCTTTGGGCACTTTATACTGGTAAAACTGCTTCTGACAGTCAGGCCCGATTCTGCGTCAGTGTGCAGTTTTGGGTAGAGCAGGAATTAAATGGGTTGGTTCACCTCTCTTCCAATGTTCCTGTACACTGACCCAGTCTGGAGTGTATCTGAGTAATGTGCAGTGGTCCAGGCATAGGGCAGGAGGCCGCACCATCCCCTGTACATACCCTGGCCTGGTCAGCTATCTCCTAGTGGCTGAATGACAGCCAGGTTTGGGATTTCCCAATGTGCAGGCAACATTTCTTACTGAAAGAGTTAGAATTACTTCAGGGTTACTCTGCACAGCCAGCAGACATGTTGGCTCCTAAGAGAAACAAAGGCCTGGTTCTCCCTACTTTGCAGCCTGTCTCCTGTGCAAAGTGAATGCAAACAGGCTATAAAATGCTACCAACCAGGATCTGGGTCTGAGGTGTACCAGTGACATGATTCTCCACTTACTTGTTTCTTTTGCGGTCAGTTAACCCAAACCCCTGCCCTCTAGACTAGCGTAACTGAAGTGGGAATTATTTTCAAATATCCTGGGATAACTGCTGAAATGGATAATCACTCTCTTATCTCCTTAGATTCGGCAGCTTAAGCCTCTGCTATGTTGCCTTGAAAAGCCCTCCCTGCTCATCTGGACATCTTCCAGCAATGCCAGGAAGTCTGCTTTCACTCTCACTGACTACCAGCACAGCAAAGGCAAAGAGTCTTACAGTTCCTCCAAATATGCCATTGACCTTGCTAGTGTGGCTCTGAACAAGCACTTTAACAAGCAGGTGAGGCTGTTTACCCTATGGTACGATGCGGAAAGCTGTTGCACTTGAGCATGTTGGTCTGAGAAATGTTGATAAGGTGGCATGCTTGTCAGTGGCAGTAGTATGTTGATGCATAGAAGTACCACGTAGCAGTGTTCAGTTGCTTAATAGATTGCTTCATGGATGTGAAGGAGCTTAGCTAGGGTGAGTTTCAAGTAAGTATGATTGGTAGGATGTGGTAGGGAATGTTTGGTATAGAAGTTGCAGTTTTAAACCTCACAGAATTGAGCTCTTACCTTCAGAATATTTGGAAGCTGTAGCCTTGGCTTTGGGACAGACATTATCTCTCTTTGCTGGCTGCATTGTATTGATATTTAATAAACCTTCCACTCTGTGGACTCATCCACATGATGACTGGCCTGATCTGTCACATGAATTAAGCAGTCCATCTAGTCTAGCAACCTGTCTAAGACTGGCTAAGAAACATTTTAGAAGAAGGTGCAAGAACCTCATATGGGACCACTATAGAATAACTTGCCTGTAAGGGAAACTTCTGCCAACTGATGTGCCTTTTGCTCAGAGGTAGGAGTTGATAGGGCAAGTATTTTTAGAAGGGCCATCTGATATGACTGGCTGGCCTGTAAAATCTGTGGCATCGCAGCAGATACAGGCATGGGAATTGTTGACTATCCCACACTAGAATCTTGGACAAGAGGCAGGGCCTTCCCTGTCATGGGCCTGTGACTGGAATTAATGCTGCTTTCCCTTGTTCTGTGCCAGTCCATAAGTGGCAGCCTTCTTTCTGGAAAGAGTTGCCATCCCTTACTGCTGTTTAACTGCTATTTGGTGGGAGAGGGCTTACCTATATGTTGAGGATGAGGAATGTATGTTTCTCTACACATCTCTGCTCACTGCTGCACAGGGGCATCTGCTGACTTTGCATTGTGAGGCCTTTTGGAAGGTGTGAGACACCTTGTCATACTTTTTCTGGTGTGTTCTTTCCAAGCAGATATGCAGCGTTTAGTGTTGGCTTGTATCCTCTCTTCCCACTTCTGCAGGGGCTGTATTCCAGTGTAGTTTGTCCGGGTCTTGTGATGACTAACCTGACTTATGGAATTCTGCCATCTTTCTTCTGGAAGCTGCTTATGCCCATCATGTGGATAGTGAGTAATCCATCTGAAAGTGTGGGTTTATTTCCAACTCTTTGGGCTGTGATGGTCTTGGGCATTTCACTCCTAGGGGTATACACAGTGCCCTGTCTGCCTTATCACCAAGCCGGTTGTACAGTGTCCTTTGCTCAGAGTGTGAATGGAAATGTAGCAGATTGCTTCACGTTGGGTTGGGAAGTAGCCTTTTGCCAAAGTGACTCTTCGGCCCTTAGGACCAGCAGGGTCAGTTTGGAAGGTGGAGTTTCGGCAAATAGATGCCTAGATAGCTTGGGGCTCCTTATCTGCAGAGGCTTGGAGAGGGCTGGTGAACAGCCAGCCATTTTTTCCCCCATTCATATATTTGTAAATGGGTGCAAAGCCAGGGCTACCAGTTATGTGGTGCCCCATGGTTATGTGCCTCGTGGTAGGATACTGCTGTGTGCCATGTGCTGCAACAGCCAGAGAAGAAGCTGTATCTTGATACAGTGGTCCTTTGCCATGCATGTTGTAACAGAATGGCAAGGGTCTCCTGCTGTTTCACTCTGTTAGGTGTTGAAATTCTTAGGGCACTGTAGGTGAATTATGTTCCACCTTGATAGCAGGCAGGTAGAGGTAGCCCTCTGGGGAATCAAGAGCTAGCGTCTGGGACAGGCATAGGCTAGATGAGAAAGGAACCTTTATACAGCCACACCTGGAAAGGAGGCTTAGGCTGAGTTTCAGTGACCTCCGTGAATTTCCCTTCAGTTAATTTAACCCAAAGCACAAGAGTAGGGTGATGCTCTGCAGCGAGTGAGACTTTCTGGAGCTGGGACTCTACCACCAATCACCTTTTATGGCCCAAGATCAATATTGCTGCTGAGAGATGCTAGTGGGGGGCCCTAGATGGGGAAGCTGATTTTAACCATGGCCTTTGATCTCTGGTTGCTCAGCCTCATGCCTTAGGCTCATTTCCCAGAGGCACTGAGCACTTACCACTCCAATAGCCCCAATCAGAATTATTGGTGCTCAGCACCTGTGGGAATTAAGCAGAAACTGGGCAACTAAAAGCAGATGGACCCCAAATCTGAGACTGTTCTTGATCACCTGAACCATAGTTAATAACTAGGCTGGTATTTTCAAAGCACTAAGCATTGGCATATGGTAAACTTCCCACTCCAGTAGGAACAGAGCTAGGTAATCCATGCCTCTGAACGGCTCACCCTCAATTAATGTTCCTACACATGGAAAATGATTCCTAAGAGAATACAAACTTCAGCAGTGAAGTCACCAGCTTTTAAGTGTGTTTTGTTTCTCCCTGGCACCTCTGGTGGAAAGTGGCCTCTTCAACATGCTTCACTTTCTTTCACCTCCCTTTACTCTACTCTCCCCACCCCTACACCTTTCCTTTACTATCTCATCCTGTGCCTGTTCTCTTCGTCTGCAGCCCTCAGTTTTCCAGCCTTGCTAATATTCCACACACTATCTACAGACAGCCAGACTTCCTATGTCCATCAGCCAGGCACCTTTCCATCTGTCTTACGAGCAGCTGCCTGTATTTGGCCTTAGCACTGCTGCCACAAACTGCTACCTGCTTGCTGTTGGGACCCGCCTGTGCCAGCCCCAAATAAGTCTGCTCTCTCTGCTGGCTGCCACCTCTTAGAATCGTAGAATATCAGGGTTGGAAGGGACCACAGGAGGACATCTAGTCCAACCCCCTGCTCAAAGCAGGACCAATCCCCAACAAAATCATCCCAGCCAGGGCTTTGTCAAGCCAGGCCTTAAAAACCTCTAAGGAAGGAGATTCCACCACCTCCCTAGGTAACACATTCCAGTGCCTCCCCTCCCTCCTAGTGAAAAAGGTTTTCCTAATATCCAACCTAAGCCTCCCCCATTGCAACTTGAGACCATTGCTTCTTGTTCTGTCAATCACTTTTCACTCACTGAATCACTTTTCATTGGATGACAAGGTGTCATAAATTGTACTCCACCCACAGCTTGGGAGCCAGCTCAGAAAGGAGGTGGCTGGAAGAAAGGTATATCGGGGGGAAGGGGGGGAGGCTCAGCTGGTCCCCTGCATGCCTGCCGCCCCCCTACCCCCAGCAGCATGGAGAGACTTGTTGGCCGTCTGGATGGTTGTAGTAAATTTGCAGTGGCCCTGGGCTGAAGGGGGTCACCTGGTCATCTAGCTAGAGGCAGGTGGCCTTACTCAAGGGGTGGGGGAGCTGTTGGCTAGGCCACAAGCAGCAGAGGACCTTGTGCCTTAACACGACTGCTGACCTCCAGGGAGCTCAATCTTGATTCCTTGCTCCAAGGCATAGGTGTTAGTAAGTTTCATGTCTCGTTTCTTCTTCTCTTTCAGATCCGCTTTTTCACCAAGTCTTACACACTAACTCCATACAATGGAGCAGAAGCTCAGGTATGTAACATGGCTTGCACCTCAAATCACTACTTGTCTGCAGTGTGCAACTCCTCCTAGCCCCCAGGTGTCTGGTACTGGCTGTGAATGCGTCCTCTGCCAGATGAATATATACAAAGCAGTGTTTCTCTCCTCTTGCCCTGTACATCTGAATCACTTTCCACAGTAAGTGCTAAGACACTGAGCTGGTATTTGAGGTTCTTCAAACAAATGTTTTTTCACCCTCTTCTTCCTCACCTATTCAGAGAGACCCTGTGGTCTCTAGATCTCACAGTGATGGTCCCTTCTGCCCTTACCCAAGCCAGGACCTGTATCCCTTCTGGCCTTACAGGTCAGAGCAAATGGTTGTAACACAAGTCATCGAACTGAACCCAGTAACTCCTACCTCAAGCAGAAACCACAAGCGGCTTGTGTTGAACCGTGGCATATCTCGCTAAAGACATGGTAAGTGTAACTACTGTCTATTAGGAGCATGGACTGTGGTGTTCCCAGTACCACGGAGCACAGCAGCCAGCTGCCTCTCTGGAGCTTAAGTGGAATGTCTCATTGAGGAAACTGGGCAGTTTGGCATCCTCTTCCATCTTCATGTTGTCAAGCTGTTTTGTTCTAAACTGCATGGCTGTCCAAACAAACTGGACTGCCTGCCCACACAACTATGCTATTGTCTTTAAAGGTATGGCTCTTCAAACAAAAGCCAGAGTCACTGGATGCACTAATGAAATATCACAGCTGTACTTCACCAATGGGGAAGAACTATGTGGAGTCCCAAAAGGTAAATATAGCAATGACTCTGAAATCCAATTTACTCTTGAGGGAATTCTGCACCAAGAAAACAAAAATCCTGTGCACAATAGTTGAGTTTAAAATTCTGCAAACTTTATTGGTCAAATAGATGTGGAGGCTCCAGCATGGCGGGGGGGACACAGGTCTCTGGCTGTGCGGAGTGAGATCACCCTGTAGCTCCATCCCCCCAGGGCACAGACTTGGTGATGAGGTTACACCTGACCGACACAGCACAAGGGCCAGGACTGCCCCAGAAACATCCTGGGGGCCTGCCCTCTGTCAGGCATGTGGGCAGGCAGGCTCAGCCTGGCAGGATTCAGGTGTGGGGTGAGGGTTCTGTGTGGGACAGTCTGGGTGCGGGCAGCTCAGTGTGGGGGATCTGGATGCACAGGGGGGGCTCATTCCGGGTGCAGAAGCAATGGGCTCAGCAGGGGAGGGGTCTGGGCTTGGGGTGGGGAGTCTAGGTGCTGGGAGAGGAGCTGGGTGGAGCAGCGTTCGGGGGGTGGGCTAGTCGGAGAGGTCCAGGTGCAGTGGGTATGGGGCTTACTGGGGTTCAAGGGGGGGCTCAGCAGGGGTGGTCTGGGTGCAGGGGTGGGGGTTTGGATTTAGGGGTGGTGGTGGGGCTGGGCAGGGGCTCCAGATGCAGGGAGTGAGGCCAGGTGTGTGTGTGTCTGGGTCTGGGCCCAAATGCAGGGGGTTGGGCCAGGGGGAGGGAGAAGAGCTTCCTGCAGCTGTGGGAGATTTCTGGGAGTGGATCTGACCTTGCCCTGGCCACAGCCACTCCTGCAGGGGAAGAAGTCCTGTAATCCCCCAGCCTAGTTGGGAGTAGCAGGAAAGCTATCATAAACCTACAGCTAAGGGTAGCATAAAATCCCTCGTGGGTAGCTGTACTGAATTTTTACCTATAAGGGATAAGAAGCTCAAATAACCTACTTGGCACCTGACCAAAAGGGCCAATGAGAAAAGAAGATACTTTCAAATCTGGGGGGTGGGGAGGGTTTGTTTGTGCTCTTTGTTCTCTCTCTGGATGGGGAGAGGGACGAGGCAGGAGAAAAAAATCTCCTAAAAACCTACCAGAAACGAGCATCTAAGATTACAAAAATTGTAAGTAAGGCAAGGAAATGTGTGAATTTTCCCTATGCAAAGTGAGTTTTGTTCCTGGGTGGTGGTTTGTGTGTGTGTGTTGTTTTGTTTTTGTAACTTTGAAGCTGAGCCTAGAACAGTCGATTAAGGGTGGAGGGGCCCCGGGCCCCAGCGGAGAGGTCTCTGTGTTTTTAAATCTTTTCATCACCCAGGAAAAGCCATCCACCCCCCGGCCCCTCTGTAAAGTCAAGAAACAATACCATCCATCCTGATTTCCCTTCACCACAGAACCAGAATCATAGAGGGGTGCGGCGGTTCCCCCAGGTGCTTCTTTTAGCTTTGTTTTTAGGGATGAAGTGGGCTGACGTACGGCCAGTTCTTCCTTTTTTAAGAATCTGATCCTCTGTCACTAGTGCTCTTTGTTTTTTTTGAGTTTTTTTGGTGTTTTTTTTCTTAAAGATAAAGGCTCTTGTCTGTGCTTGTATTAAAGGCAATTGGCTGGTATATTCTCAAGCCTCCCCAGGAAAGGGGTGAAAGGGCTTGGGGGGGGTGATATTTTGGGGAAATAGGGACTCCAAGTGGTCCTTTTCCTGAATTTTTGTCTAAATCACGTGGTGGTGGTGGTAGCAATACTGTCCAAGGACAAGGAAAGGATTTGTGCCTTGGGGAAGTTTTTAACCTAAGCTGATAAAAATAAGCTTAGGGGTCTTTCATGCAGGTCCTCACATCTGTACCCCAGAGTTCAGAGTGGGGAGGGAACCCTGACACGAGCCCAACACGTTTTTAGGAGCCACCAGCTGGCATATCTCCAGAACACCCCTCCTCCCCCACCACTGCAGTGATTTACCTCTCTGCTGGCTGGTCTGGGTGCCCTAAACAATGTGGCCACGCTGCTGGGAAATGGTGCATAACCACTCTCTCAGCTTCCCTGTCAGAAAGTTCCTTTTCTGCAGAGAAGCAAAGAAATCTGCGGGAGGACATTACATTCTGCACAGGTGCAGAATTCCCCCATGAGTACAAATTGTAAGAGCTGGACTGTTATGTATTGGCTCAAAACACTTACCTGAGGACCTGATTCTTCCATCCTTACTGCTATTTATGCTCTACTGCACAGTGCCTAACCTAGCCTGCCAGTCTCTGTATCTCACTGTATGAATGCACTGCCTCTGGACTAACAGCTGAGTGCCTAGGTAGGTGGCCTTCTGAGTAGGCATTATAAGACAGTGTCCCCAGCCCATCTGTGTTAAGACCAGAATCACCAACACAAGGCTTGATGCAACTTCTTGTAACGAGGATGTGAAGCCTAATGGACTAGTAGGGGGATTGGCTTGAACTTAATTGGATCACAGGAGTTCAAACAAAACCAGCGTGAGACCCAGCCCTTCCCATTCCCTTCAGAGACACTGAGAGGTATGAGCAGACGTGCAAGATTTCTGCTGCTGCAAGGTGGAGAAAGGATCTCCTCTCACTGCTGCCCACCAGGACATGTGTAGTTCAGTGAGGTGGGGGAGTATTCTTCCTTTTGTAGCCTTATCCTTGGAAAGCTCTGACAAGCCCCCTTCTGTTCCAGTGGTCCTCAAAATGCAGGCTCTGTGCTGACTGTACAGTTTTACTCTGACTTTGTAGCAAGCACACAAGATAATACAACTATTGTGGTCATAACAGTGTGCTAGAAATGGTATAGTTATGACAGTCTCTGCACCAGAGAGCTTACAAAGCAAACTGGTGGTGAGGGGAAGGGCTGTTATACCCCAGCTAAGTGACTGTGCTTATGAGTATGTACTTTGTTCTATCTGATTTTAATTATACACTTGTTCTAATTCTGGGTGGGCAACTGGAGTTGAGTGCAGGAGGCCAGGCAGGGCTGAAATGGAGAGGGAGTGCAATCGGCAGGCATGGGGTGCTTGGCAGCTGAAGGGCTGCAGTCACAGCAGAGCCAGAACCTGCAGCCAATTACACTAAAGCAAGGGAGAATTCCCTCTGCAGAGTCAGAGTGAAGTAAAAGATGTTAGGCTGTGATGACTCTAGCTGAAAGGCCTAGATTTCACCCCCAGCTGTGATTAATGCTGGCAGTCTTGAGAAGGAGCCTCAAGGCAGGGGCTTCAGTAGTGTACACCATGCAAGTTCCTCCTGGCTTGTGCTGCTGTTTCCTCACTGCAGAGGCTACAGTTTACACTTGTGTCCTTGGCAGCTTGTGCTAATGCTGGGGGAGCGTTCCTTCTCCTCAAAGGCAGTGATTCCACATCCTATCCCACATGAAGCAGCTTTCTTTTATTTGGGGCTGTTGCTCATCTGTGGGAAATGCTAGCCCTCTGTCATTTGGGGCTACAGTCCTAACCTCCAGCTCCCTGGGCACATGCCATAAGTGGCTGAGTGGGTACCTTTCAGGAGGAGACTGAGCCTGTCCTTGGCTTTGCCTATCTCTGGCAACATCCAGAGGTTCTTTGTCGGTCCTCACTGCAGCCCCCTTGGTCTAATATTACTGCTCTGGTTTTCTTGCAGATGGATGTGGAAGAAGAAACTACTGAAATATTTTATCAAAAGCTGTTGGAACTGGAGAAGCATGTCCTAGCAAGATTGAATGCTCCCTTTAGCTCTAAGTAACAAGATCCAGACAAGGCCTCCAAGGACAAATCTTTCTGGCACTAGTGACATTGGAGTTCCTTCTAAGTGGGTATTATGTGTTTGCAGTAGAGGCCTTCTTGGAGACCTGTGGCTTTGTAGCACCTCTCATCCTTCGCTCAGTCTGGGAAGGAGTGATTTCCTAGAATGGGAAATATGAGAGGGATTGAATAGTTATTTAGTCTCTTGGAGTCCAGTACGAGATTGCTCTCTCCACTAACGCTTTCTAGTAACTTGCCTAAACCAGGCCTCCATTTCTGTACGTCCTGGTCTTCACAATAAACTGCAGGTTCCAAGAACTACTGAGAAAAAGTATGAATGGGTTGAGAGCTCAGTGTGAGCACAAGGTGAAAATAGGTGGAACGGCTGGTCTTGCACAGAAGGCTCCTCAGTTGCCAGGCTTCCTGGATAGCCACATGTGCCTGTTAAGGTCAGACTCTTCAAAAACTGATCAACATGTCTACATGGACACTTAGTGTGCATGCTAGAGTACTGCAGATTGACACCCCAGCTTGCAGCACACTATGGCCATGCTGCTCGCTAGAAGCCATGTGTGTGCTTTTCTCTTTCAAGCATGAGTAGATCAAAGTGCCCGATGGAATTTTTAGTGCTCACCAGCAGGATCCACACTATCACTTAATGTGATAGGCTGCAGCTTGATGGAGAGAGGTGACCATGCTCTGCTTCTGCCTAAAGTACAAAGTGCTCTTTTCACAAAGAAAGGAGCAGTACTGCTTTCACCCTTGGGTTGTAGATTCTTGTATTGAGGCACAGAGTTGGTGCAGACCTCAGACATAACTGCTTCAGCCTTTGGGAAGGCACTTTTGGTACCTGTTGGTAAACTGTTAGAATCCTGTGAGAGCATCAACAAGGGTGATCCAGTTGATATACTATATGGGGACTTTTGGAAAGCCTTTGACAAGGTCCCTCATTAAAGGTTCTTAAGCAGACATGTGATAAGAGGGAAGGCCTTCTCATGGGTCAGTAACTGGTGAGAAGATGGGAAATGAAGGGTAGGAAAGAAATCAATAGCTGTCATAAATTATCTGGGAAAGGGGGTGAATAATGAGTTGGCAAACTTTTGCTGCTGACCTAAAATAACTCCAGATAGTGAAGTCCAAAGCTGAGTGTGAAGACTTAAAGGGATTTTACAAATCTGGGTGCCAAAATGGCAGATGAAGTTGTTGAATGCAAAGTAATCCTGATTGGGAAACATAGACTGAGAGAACCATAGTCCATTCTGCATTTGTGACCCTTCTCCCAGCCAGTGAATGAGAACCTGGACAAGATAGCATCCTACATGAACATCAGAACAAAAGAGCAATGGCCCAGATTTGTTTTAGGGCCTCTGAGTAATAACCAAGCCATTGAAGAGCAGTCTCCTTGGTTGTTTGGTAAGGTGCCTTTGACCTTTCTGATAAATGGCGTCAGCAGCTTTTCATCCCCCGATGTGGCTTAATGGACAGTGCACTGGACAGCCTCAGGAGATCTGGGTTCATTGCTGGCTCTGTCACTGGCCTGCATCATACCCTCTGCAAATAGGGATGATGCTACCAACATCCTTTATAAAGCACTCCGATCTCTTAATGGAGCATTAAATAAGAAGCAGATCTCGCTATTACCACAGGAACCAGGGACATCTCCATGGCCCCAGAGTGCCAAGGGTCCAGGTGAACAGAGGCAGCTAGATACTCGGACTCCTCCCACCACAGCCTTCTAAATTTTTCACAAAAAATGGAGGATTAGACTTGGGCTGCTTGGTGGCTGGATGGTCCGTGTTCACTAGGTTTTTTTGAGAAATGGCAGCAGGTTCTCCTTTCGAAGTCGTCAGCCTGCACTAGGGCAGTGTTTGCAGTCACCACCTACCATGTACCCAGACCTTTTCCATCAGGCTTCACCAGTCAGTAAGGATACTAGCTGTGAAGTAAAGTATTTTCAACATTCTACTTCCCCAGACACCAACACTGGTCAAAGCTCAACCCAAGATGACCTAGCATGTGTTTCTCTGAACAGTAACACAAAATTTTTTCCCAGCAGAAAGGCGTGAGCACCAAGCACAGTCAGCCTGAATTAAGCTAGCTTACTGCTACCCAGAACAATTCTACCTGAGACTTTCCGGGTGTGGTGAGGGTAGCAAAGACCCTGATTTTGGTATCCCCCACAGCCATGGCGCAAGATTTACAAAATCAGTGTGACAAATGTGTGGTGAGCAAATGCTGTATGTCCTAGAGTGTGATTTATGTTCTGAACTTCTGAGTTACTGCTCACCTGGCAGAGGGGAGCAGACAGCTCAATGCTTTCCTAACTGATGTGCACAATCACAAGGTCACTGATTGTAAGCCACTGAGATGGAATCGGTCTAGCTATCCAAGCAATGGAACAACTACCATATTCTACAAGATGGCCTGACTCAGGGTGATTGGGGAAAACCAACCTGCTGCAGAAGGAAGAACTCGCTCCTGAACCCTGTGACAAAGACACCATGAGCAATCTGGTAATTGAACCAGGTACATAGAGGGAGAGTGGGAAGATGTAAAGAAACAACTGATCACCTGGGAGAGGAGAGAGTGTTTCTGGGAGACAAAACTGAGACCAGGTAGGGTCCCAGAAACTCCTTGGCTCCCTAAAAGAAGATAAGCTGGTTCTGTTCTGCTCCTGTAATAATAATAATAATATATAAAAAAGGACCATTTAACTTACCTTGTAGTGAGCTGTAAGATTAGATGAGACTAAAGTGGCACGTTGGCTTTTTAGTGTGAAACTCTCTGCTCTCTGATGCTTTGTTCAGTTGTCAAACATGGATTGTTTCAGGATGGCTGCTGGTCAATCTCACTGGACACTGAAGGGAGGAAACACAGGTGCCCAAACCTAGTAGCTGTAGGGTGAGAAATGATTGGTACCTGGGACACTCTAGCTCTCTTCCCTAAATGCCAAAGTCAGAAGGGACTATGGTGCTCATCTAGTCTCACCTCCTGTATGACACGGACCAGAGAACTTCCCTACACTAATTCTAGTTTGAACTAGAGCAGATCTTTAGGAAAAACATCCAATCCTGATTGAAAAATTGTTAGTGATGGCAAATCCACCACAACCCTTGGTAAATTGGTTAATTACTCTCACTGTCAAAAAATTGCAACTTATTTCCAGTCTGAATTTGTCTAGCTTCAGCTTCACCTGTTTGATTGTGTTAGACCTTTGTCTGCTAGACTGAAGAGCTCATTATTAAATAGTTGTTTCCCATGCGGGTATGTCAAGGGGTGATACAGCACAGGCTAGACAGTCTGAGCTCCTTGAGTCTAACAATCTATTAATCATTCTTGTGGCTCTTCTGTGAACCTTTTCTCAGTTTATCAACCTCCTTGAATTGTTTGGCTGACGTTCCTCTGTAAATCAGGATGACCAGTGAGAGTGAAGCTGGGGAGGAGGGCAATAGATGAGGAAGAAAGATAGTTGCACAGTATCATCAACCCATGCTTCTTGCTCTGTCAGAGAAAACCTATTCTTCTTCGAGTGATTGCTCATATCTATTCCCATTAGGTGTGCGACAACCAACACCAGCAGTCATGCCAATACCACAGACTCTGCAAAAGGACCAGTATCTCAGCCGTCAATGCACTGATCTGTCTATGGGCCCTTTGATGCCTGGGATGTGTGCACCAGCCAAAGACCTCTTGACTTTGCCCATACTGGGCTCACCTGGTGCCCAAGAAGCAGCACCCCCAGCATTGTCCAGAAACACGGAAGGCTCCACTCTTTGTAGACCAGTGCCAAGGCCCCTTCCTAGGAGGAAGCCTCCTCTGATCGCCTCCCTGCCAACATCACTTTAGCTCCGATCACCGGCACTGGGAGGGTTGGCACTGCCATGGTCTCCCCACTCCTCTGCCTCTTCCTCTTCAGGATAGTGTTCTAAGCACTGACAGGATTGTTGGCATTAGACACTATTCCCATGGCCTCGGGAGCTACAGCTGCTATGGTGGCACAGAACAGTTGGCCCATGGGTTCCGGTGGGTTGAACCCATGCAGTGGCCATTCTGGTACCCATGGGAGCCCTGGGCCAGTGCACCAGCTTGCAGCATTCCTACTCAGTCTGGTTGGAGAGTGGGGCACCACCAGCAATATGCTGAGAGACTCCGGAACTGACTATCGGTACCATTGCGGGAGCTGTCCTCAGTACCGACTCCAGTGTGCAACCTGGTACTGAAATCGATACCGACTAGCATGCTCAGGTCTTCCAGATAGAGGAGGCACTTGAAGAAGGGATAGTTTTTCTTGCCTCTTCATGGAGGATAAGTTGCTCTGCCACTGCATGAGGCAGTTATGAAGCCTATCAATATCCTGTGGCAGATACCACCCTCCCTCCCCCCCACAGCCAAGAGAATGTAGCGGAAATACTTTGTGCTGGCTCAAGGCTGTGAATTTTTATTTTCTCACCCTCCACCTGGATCTCTCGTGGTGGCTGCCACTGAGAGGTACTGGCAGGGCCAGACAGGTCATGCACCAAGGGCAAAAGAACAAAAAAGTTAGACCTACTCGGCAGGAAAGCATATTTAACTGGAGGACTCCAATTTTGCAGAGCGACCCAGCAAGTGTGGGAGTTGAACAGATATAGAGACAGCAGGAGTTCTCAGCTCTGGTGGATGAGGGCAAGATGGTTGCCAGAACCCCCTGCAAGTGGCCCTGGATGTAGCTGATTCTGTGGCCAGATTGATGGTCACAGCTGTCACCCTGAGAAGGAGCTCTTGGTTGCAATCATCTGGGTTCCCGCAGGAGGTTCAGCAGACCCTACAGAACTTGGTCTTTGAAGGCCCCTCACTCTTTTCAGAGCAAACTGACATTAGGCTTCACCGCCTTAAAGATTCTAGGGCAGGGGTGGGCAAACTTTTTGGCCCGAGGGCCACATCCAGGAATAAAAATTGTATGATGGGCCATGAATGTTCACAAAATTGGGGTTGGGGTGTGGGAGGGGTGAAGGCTCTGGCTGGGACTGAGGAGTTTGGGATGAAGGAGGGTGCTCCAGGCTGGGAGTGAGGGGTTTGCAGGGTGGGAGGGGGATCAGGGCTGAGGCAAGAGATTGGGGTGCAGGGGGAGGCTCAAGGGAGGAGATGGGTAGGCGCTTAGCTCAAGCGACTCCCAGAAGCAGTGGCATGTCCCTTCTCCAGCTCTACACGGAGGTGTAGCTAGGCAGCTCTGCATGCTGCCCCATCTGCAGGCACCGCCCCTGCAGCTCCCATTGGCCACAGTTCCCAGCTAATGGGAGCTTTGGGGGCAGCGCTTGGGGCAGGGGCAGTATCCTGGTTGC